CCAAAAATTCCAGAGGGAAGAAATCTCTAAATGTGACAGCGCCTTTCACACCTGAGCACCACCTGTGCTGGTGCTGGTCTGTGTCACACAAACACACACAAATACGCTGTGGTCTCACAGGTGCGAGGTGACACTGGGAGGGCTAGATCCTACGGCAGTCGGGAGGTGAGGGGAAGAGTCCTACTGAGAGTGCGCCACAGCGTCAGGCCCCAGGGGCGACAGCAAGGCTGAGGGGACTGCCGGGCTGGACCCCACAGGGCCACCTTCACAGGCTCCATCACTTGAGTCTGCTCAAATGTCAAGCCCCAAACCTACAAGCTAAGGACGCCCCACCCCCAAACTTCTCGACTCCTTGTCCAATTCCCTTTTCCATTTTAAAATTACATTTTTAGTGTTTTATAGTTTGTATCAATATCTGGATTGATCTTACTTGCTCACTTATTCACCACCCCACACTGCCCGGTTTTGAGGACGAGAGATCTTGCTGCATTATTCAATACTGTATCCATAGCACCTGGAAGGCTGCCGCCCACAAATGGCCCTCAACAAACATTTATGGAATTGAAAAAGAACAGGCGAGGGGATTTGGCCCCCCGGTCAGCAGCGCTTGCTATAAGCCGTGGTGATTCAGACCCTGTCCCCACGAGGATGGACAAGCAGACCACTGGACACGACAGCCAGCTTTAGGCATCTCAGAGACCCAAATGTAACAAGCAAGACCATGAAAGCTTTTAAAAAGGTAACTTAGGGCTGCGGTCCCCAACCCCTGGTCTGCAGACTGGTACCGGTCCGGTCCGTGGCCTGTTAGGAACTGGGCTGCACAGCAGGAGGTGGGTGCCAGGCAAGCCAGGGAAGCTTCAGCTGCATTTACAGCGGCTCCCCATCGCTCACACCGCCTGGGCCCCGCCTCCCGTCAGACCAGCAGGGGCACTAGTTGCAGGAAAACAAGCTCAGGGCTCCACTGATTCTGCATTACGGTGAGCTGCATAATTATCTCATTACATATTACAAGGTAATAATAATGGAAATAAAGTGCACAATAAATGTAGTGCGCTTGAATCATCCCGAAACCATCTCCTGCCCCACCTGCTAGTCCGTGGAAAAACTGTTTTCCACGAAACCAGTCCCAGGTGCCAAAAAGGTTGGGGACCACTGATTTAGGGGGTTCTCTTCATGACCTTGGGGTGGGGAGAAGATGGATACACTTGACAACATTAAAATTGAGAACTCCTCTTTGTCAAAAGATATCATTAAAGAAGGGAAAAGACAAGCCACATGGAGGGGAAATGATATTTGTGGCACATCCACCAACACTGGGATTGTGCCCAGAATCAGCGGGAAAAAGCCCCATAGACGAGTGGACGAGATGCCAGGACAGGTGTGTCCCACAGCAGAGTGAGAAAGGAAAACCTTGTATCTGAGGAATATGAGCCCCTTTAAATTATCAGGCCCAGAAGGAATTTAAAATGTAACCGGAGTCTCCTCGCACTCCTCCTTTGCTAAATAATTACCCTTGGAAGCCACTTGCTATGTGGGCTCTAGACTAACACCAAGTAGCTAGAAAATGCCATATACTCCACAGTTCAACAGTGCACAGCCAATCACTGACCAGCGTTATTTCTGTAAACCAATGAGAATTCTCGACAAACACCTTTCATCATCACCCCCTTTCCTGATTTGCCCTTTATTCTTTAAAAAGTTGAGGTCCTTTTTTGTTCTCTGGCAACTTTTGTTGTTCTTTTGTTCCAAGGCAACTTGGAAGAGTGTCCCGGGGCAGGAGTCCTCAGCCTTTGGGCTTACATAAACTATCTTTAAACTAGACTCTGACCTTTTTGATTATTTTAGGTTGACAAGAGTAACCGCAATGTCGACAAGCATATAAAAAGTTGCTCAGCCTCTTCAGACATCTGGGAAATGCAACTTGAGATCACAGTGAGACATCTCTACACACCTAACAGAATGGCTAAAATTGAAAAGGCTGACAATTACCACATGTTAATAAGAATACAGAGCAAAGCAGACTCCTAGTGAGAGAGAGTGTAAATTATAAAATCAGTATCTAGTAAGGCTGAAGGTAGGCATCCTGCAAAGACGCAGCCCTTGCTCTCCTAGGCATGCCCCAGCAGAAACTCCAAGGCAGCGGGCGCCACACACAGTGCTCCCAGCGGCACTGTTTGCAGCAGCCCCAGAGGGGGACGACCCCCAAGTCCATCAGCAGCTGACAGAAATACACTCTTATGACGGCTCAGGGCAATTCCACATAACAATGAACACCAACTTTAGATAGCACAGGATGCATCTTAATTAGAGTAAGAGAAGGCAGACAAAACAGAATGAGTAAGGTTTAAAGGAACGCATATGGTTTTACTTATATAAAGCTCAGAAATGGGTACCTGCCCCCACCCTATGTTGCAATTAGGTAGTAAAATGATAATGAAAGGCAAGTGAATACTATAAAATTTGGCACAGTGTTCAGGCCAGAGAGGAGGAGGGAGTCTGAGCAGGAAGGGGTGGGGCCTGGGGAATGCGGTATTTCCTGACCTGTGTGCCGGTCGTTCGTTGTTGTGCATTATGCTTTTCTGTACGACTTCTCTATTTCTCCACTTAAAAGAGCTTTAAAGAAACAAACTGCAGGATGTAAAATCATAGAAAATTAAAGTCTTTATAGATGTATGATCGCAACCGTGCTACATATATAAAGTTTGCTTATAGAAAAAAAAGCTGGAAGAAAATTTAACAAAATATCAAGAATGGTTGTTTTAAGATACTGGACTAAAAGAACTACTGCTCCTTAAAACCAGTGTGGAGGGAAGGAGTGGGCACACAGGCTGAATCCCACAAATCCCTCGGCAGCCACAGCCTGCTCTCCCAGGGGCGCCCACAATGGGGAGCAGGCACCTCCAGGTAGAGTTTCCGGCTCCATTTCCTCCCTGGCCTCCAAGGAGGGAACTTTTCAGAGCGCGCTCCCTTCCCTTTGCCTAGGTCTCTGCTGCGGTGCACGCGCATCCTACTCCTTCCTCTTTTCTGGTAAGATGGGAAAGGGAAAGAGGACTAGGAACTCACATTTGTCGAGCACAGCTTCTTGCCTGGCCCTTTGCTGGGCACTTTACAATCACTGTCTCGCTTGTTGCGTCCAGGTGTGTCCCTGAGACCCATCCCACCTGCTCCAATACATATACAATGCCCAATGGAGCACAGGGACACCTCTGGGAATTTTTTTTTTCCTGTGTGTGTGCACACATCTGTATACATATATACACACAGATGTAAGTATATATTTATAGCACTATTAAATCAGAGTTGTTAATTCAAATAGCACTATTAAATCAGAGTTGTTAATTCAAATACTATAGAATCTTTTTTGACTATTTGATTTTACTTTGAGTTACCTAATACTATACTAACTTTTTATTTTTAAATCAAGTTCTCTGTGTATTTCAGATAATTGAAAAATAAAAAGGGCAACATGCAACTAAGTAGGCGGGTGTCAGGAAAGGGCACTCATATACTGCTACTGAGTGTTAATTACCACAATCCCTTCAGAAAGTAATCTGAAATAAAAATACACATACCCTTTGTTCCTCTTCCCTCTCCTACAGAAATAAAAGCGTCAATACCTAAGAACATGTGCACAAGGGTGCTGTTCCAGCATTATTTATAATGGCCCCACACTAGAAATTACCTCAATGTCAGTAGAATAGTTAAATGAAATACAGTCTAGCCATACTATGAAATATTATTCATCTTCTAAATAGAAAACAACTTATAGGAATCGCTGGAGGACTATATATTAAGTGAACAAGAAAGACGCGGAGTAATACGCACGTATGATCCATGGTGTAACTCTCTCTCCCCAAAACTTCCCCATAAACCTATGTGAACATAATGAAGGATCATACACATTAGAATACTACATTCTTGTCTTCCATGGAATGGGATTGGAGGGAGATCTTTTCTTTTCTACATCTGTATTGTTTGCCTTTTTTTAATTTTAGTAACAGTAATTTTTTAAAACAGTACTCTTAAAGGAAAGAACACAAGCGTTAATGTTTAACTCTTTACAGATGAGGAAACAGGCTGGGGAAGGTGAGGCAATTTTCAGCTGGTAGGGATGCCATTTGAATGTCTGCTGTCTGCTTCCAGGGTCCTCAGACGCACCTCTAGGAACCATCCCCCACCCCAGTTCTGCCTCTCCTGGCGACCCACCTGGGCTTGGAGGCGCTCTGAGGGGGCACCTTATCTGTAGCCCTCTCGGCTATGCACCCACCAGAGCACTGGGCTGGTGGACACCTGCTGGTGGCAGAGGGGGACTGGGCGGCAGGACCTTAGCTCGCTCGCCCATTCCAGGCACACGGGAGACCTGACACTCCTTGGTCTAAAGCAGCAAAGGAGGCTGACTTTCACCGTCCCCAGAGTACCATCTGGAATTTCCACAAAGGTCCCTCCTCCCGAGGGCAGCAGGACCCATGAGAAATCCTGCCCTGTCCTGTTCCTGGGCCAAGCTGTACTTGGGGGAGAGACCATTTTATTTTACCAGAAATTTCAAATTTCACAAGCACCAACAACTCCTATCTCTTTATACCGCAATAAGTCCAACTGCATCATATTTTAAATAACATAAAGTAAAATAAAAACCATTAAAGTACTAGAGGACAGCATGGGGAAATTAGAAAAATAAAAGTCACATTGGAGAAGAACTACATTTGATGCAAAAACCTGTACTAACCACCTGATATAAAATGGGCAGACTACAAACAGGCAGCGGATAGAAAAAGGAATTCAGATGGCTTGAATTATACAGTTAAAAAGAGAAACACAAAATAAAATGATACTGAAATGCCAATTTCACTTGTTATTCTGGTAAATTTCAAGAAGTTGGTCCCACGCCTGTTGACTAGGGAGGGCACTCTGGGGTAACTGCGCTGGGCTTTGCTGCTTACTTAGGAACATTCCCAAGAGCTGCCCTCCTGAGGAGTGGGTGCGGATCCCAGATGGCTCACCTCACTCCCAGGAAGGTCCCTGAGCGAGGGTGCTGTGCTCAGGCCACGGGGACGCTGGCCTCGTTTCCCGCGCTCTTCCTTCTGGCCAGCCTGGTTTATTGTCTGCAGAGAAAGTAGGAGGCTTGTCCGGGTCTTGGGAATCTTGGGGCTTTCAGGGGCCCCTGAACTGCTGTCCACATCACTGTAGCTTCCAAGAGAAACCATGGAGATGGCACTGCCCCTGCCAGGGTAGTGGAGACCCGCGGCCAGAGCACCAGGCCTGGGGCTCAGGGGTTTGGGGCTCAGGGGCCTGCAGGGCACGCCTGGGCTTTCGAATGCCAGCCAGCAGGCAGAGCTGGAGGGCAGGGTGCGGCGGATCCCAGCCTGCTGGGCCCCAGGGCTGGCGGGGGACGTCAGCCGGGGCTTTTCAGGAAAGATACCTGAAGGTAGGTACCTACCGCCTTCCTGGGGGGCTGTGCATTTGATGGACGGTTCACTTCTTCTCCTGTGTTCTGGAGAGACCAAACTGCCGGAGGACAAACGTGTGGGGGGACGTGGGGGTGCCCGGTGGTCGCCAAAAACATAGCCGTCCTTGTCCTCTGCCCACTCCTCACAGTGGCTGTCGGTCACCGGTGGGGAAGGAATTTCTGGTCCTGGAAGCAGACTCACTAGGGGAGGCCTTTTGGGGCCTTCTGCGTCTCTGCCTTTCAGAAACGCGCGCCAGGAGCTCTGGCGCAGCCTGCTCCTCTTCTCGCCCTCGGGAGAACCTGGGGAACGTTCATCGCTGTTCTCCTTCTCTAACACTTTTGACTCAAAAAAGTTTGAAAAGGTCTTATGAGCCAAGGCCAACCTTGCCCTGAGCCTGTTCTCTGTTGTTTTGAGTCTCTTTGCGCTGCAGCTTTCCGAGGAAGGTCTTCTGCTCCCGAGATCCCCGGGCGTCCCCACACCCCCGCTTTCCATCGGCCCCGCGGCCCCTGCGCCTGCGCGCGGGGGGACGACCTTGGGAGGAGCCGTCCTGTCCACGAGGCGCGGAGGCGGCCTGGCACCAGTCGGACTTGCTACGCGGGGCTCCTCAGAGCGCTTCAGAGCCGAGGGCCTGCCTTTCCTGAAGGAGGTCACTGTGGGAAGCCTGCTGGGCCGGGCAGAGGAGCCCGGGCCCTTCTCCGCGGCCCCAGCAGCACCGCCCCTGGGGGCCTGGCCGGCCCATGCGCCCCTGCCGCGCTCCCCCCGGCTGCCCGCGGGGTGGAGGCCCTGGGCCCCATGCACACCCTCAGGCCTGGGGCTCAGGCTCTCTCCGGGCACTTTCTCTTCCGGGGGTTCCTCTGGGCTGGGCGCCTCTTCCAAAGCAGCTCGGGGAAGCAGAAGGCTCCCTCGCTCTGCGGCCTGCGCCACCGGCGGAAGCGCCCCATCACCAGCTCCCAGCGTGGAGGCTGCTGGCAGCGCGCGCTCATTGCCACAAGTGGGTGTTTTCCTGGCTCTGGGAGACTTATGGGGGGTCGCGCCAGTACTGAGGGGAGATCCTGGCCTTTCCCCGGTAAAGTTACGGGACTGTATTTCTGGAAGAGGACCCAATTTCTTCTTGGTGGCCTGAAGACCTTTCTGCTCCACAGCTATAATGATGGCTGTACACCTGCCCCTAGAGGCCAAGCAAGCTTTGGATTCCGAAAGACCCTGCAAAGCAGTTTTCCTGCTGATGGGGTCTAGAACCACGGCCTCTTCAGCTTCCTTTGACGTGTCTACTGCACTTGATTTCAGGGTGCTCCCTGGACCATCCGGACTCTCGCTCACTTCCGAGCAACCCATCAGGACACCGTTCCATACCTGGGTCCCCTCAGTGCCAGGCTGCCGTGGGAACTTGGCCCTAGTAGGTAGCTTTCTTTTCTCACTGAAAACATACTTTGATGTGTAATTACTGGTTTGGTTTCCTGCCTTGACAGAAATGTCCTGAAGGTGCTTTTGTTTCTCTCTCACACCAGCAGCGCTTGGTGCAAGGAGAGTGCCTTGGGGTTCCTCGGTTCTGCTTTCTGGGCTGTGCCCCAGCTTGCACTCAGCAGGCCCAGGCACTTCCTCCATGCCGAGCTTCACCAGCTCTGACGTAAGGCATGAAGCGACTGGGCATGACCCAGAATCCTGTCCCAACTGGTCTTCCTGCTGGAGACCTGCAGAGGACGTGTCCTGAGAGGCCCTTTTCAAGCTAAAACCGCTGGGTTTGCTATACGGGTCCTGCAAAGAAGGGCCCCTACTTTGAGAAGCAGGAAGCAAATGAGACAGCTGGGTGGACACAGAGTAAAGGGTGTTTTGTGTTCTTGCATCTCGCTCATTTTCTGTCCCTTCCTTCAAGTGGGTGCCAAACTTCACAGAGTTCTGTCCCGCGGGACCCTCAGGGTAACCTAAGGGAAACCCTGTTGTGGGATGGGCCCCGATCAGTATCCTCGTGTGCTGGCAGCAGTGCCCAGGGGCCACCCTCCCCTTTTCGCCAATATTTTCTGGTGCACTGTGGTGACGCTTGGCATGTGGGAGGCAAGATGTCCCCAGAGGAGGCCAGCAGGGGGCATCAAAGCAGGGCTGGGCCCAGAGCAAGTCTGTGTCCACCGCAGGGCCTGGAGTATTTCCCTTCTTTGTCCTGGCCCCCAGGGGGGCTGTGCTGTCCTGCGTGTCTCTGCGAGGCAGCACTGGGGCCCTGGCCCTGTTGTGGATATATGGCCAGCTCCGACCCAGTTCACAGAACCAGAGAGGGAAGGGCCAGACCACTGGGATGCCCAGACAGCTCTCAGACCTGGATTTTTGAAGAGAAACACCAGAGAATCGCCTGAGGTCTTCAGAAGTCACCACCTGTGCTGGCTGGAGACTGCTGCTGCCTGGGGCACCCTGTGAGCAGCATCCTGTATGTCCAGGATCCCCTGCCAGCAAAGGCTCCAGCTCTAGGCTGGTCACGTGGTCCCAGAGGTGTTCTGCGCCCTCTTCTCCAGCAACTGCAGGAAAGGCTTGCAGTGCATTTTCGTGAGCCTCTTCCATTAAGCCAGGGGGCAAATCTGGTTCTTCCTTTGCATCGAGCCCAGGGACATGGGTCAAATGTTGCTCCTGAGGAGGTCCAGTTGCTGGGACAGCGGGGCATCTCCAGCATGATTCTCTGTTTATGGACGGCCCACCTGGAGGGAGGCAGACTCCTGTTGGGAGGTGCCCAGAGAAGGACTCTGTGTCAGAGGCACTTTCAAAGGGATCTGTTTTTGTTTCTGATTGACTGTCAGTCTGGTGGGACAGCGTCTCAGAATCACTGTGGTCTGTTTCCTGGATCCATCCCTGCTTCTCTGGTTCTGCAGGGGATGTGGGGAGCTGGCTATCTTCAGTCTCACCTTCACCTCGCAGGTGTGCATCTGGCTCTGGAGTCTGGAAGGGCAAGAAGAAAGGAGTCAGAGAGGAGGCTGGGGACATCTGTGCACGTTTACACTGTGCCTGCCTTAGTCACAAGGGGAGGCTCAGAAATGGGAGGCTCATTAGTCAGAAGGGGAGGCTCAGAAATGTCTCAGTAGTTCTCCATGTCTCCCTAGGAGGGGCGGTACGTATGGAGAGCTGCCTTTTATTCACATAGGACACAAATGATGAAGCCAAACCCAAGGAGTGGGGAGAAAAGGTAGCACAGTTAAAAGAATCTTCTTAAATCAGAATGGGCCAAACGAGCATGTGTAGGTGAAGTAAGCATAAATATATTGTGTGAGTCATGGAGAAAAGCATCCCTGCCTAATGTTTTCAGCAAGAAGGAACAAATTAGTATACATTTGTGTTCTGTTTGTTCTTATATAACCAACTGGCTTAAAGGCAACACTCTCACACATAGAAGTATTTTCTCAGTTTGCTTTGTTGGAGCAAAAAACCAAAATACAACAACAAAAAAACCCCAAGAATTATTGAAACTGCAAACACATTTTGGGATGTTATGAATACCCAAGACAGCTTTGAGAACAAGAAGGAAAATAGAGAACTGTGTAAGTATTTCCTTCCCTAGTTACATATTTCTTAATCAACTTATTGAGTTATAAATTTCCATGCATCTATTTAAAGTGCATAGATCTATGAGTTTTGACAAATGTGTATGCCCATGAACAAAAGTCTAGACTAAAATCCCTGCCCTACCTGGCCAGTCCTCATCTCCTTCCCCCTCCTTCCCCTGTGAGTGACATGCTTTCTGTCGCACGATCCAGGTTTGTCTTTTTCTGGAGTTTCAGATGAACAGAATATACAGTAGTCCCCCGTTACTCATGCTCCCAAGCCCCCAGTGGATATCCGAAACCACCTGAACTCCATGTACGTTTTTTCCTATACATACATACCTATGATAAAGTATAACTCAAAAATTAGGCACAGTAAGAAATTAATAATAACTATTAATACAACAGGACAATTAAAACAATGTACTGTAGTAAAAGCTATGTGAATGTGGTCTTTCTTTCCCTCTCTTTCTCAAAATATGTCACTGTACTGTACTCACCTATTTTCTGACTGAGGTTGACCTCAGGTACCTGAATCCGTGGAAGGCAAAACATCGGATAAAGGGACGCTACCGTATATTCTCTTGGCTCTGACTTCTGTCCCTCACGCATCGTGGCTGTAGCATGTCTCAGTGTGTGCAGTGCCTTGAACTCTGACATGATGCTGTGCGCCACACGCGACTGTCGAACTCCCCGAGGGCCGCCAGCCCAGGAGCTGGGTTAATACTCGGCCCCACTTCCCGCTAAGGCTCTTTCACATGCATCTTGTACAGAAGCGTTCACTCGGCCAGCCCGTCCCAAGCATGGTTTCCCAGGATTTGTCCTAAGAGATTTCTCAAAGTAAAATTGCTTTTAATCCTCCTTGACTGAGAGAAAGAAAACAAACGCCAAAGCGTGTGATGTGTGAGGCTCTAAGGAGCCAGGCAGGAAATCAGGAATGATACGATACTACAGTTTCCAGTATGTCGCAAAGCAGGAGGGCGTTGGGACTAGGAAAGCGAACAGTAAAAGTCAAACCATTTGGAAAGGAGGTCTGTGCGGCTGTTACGTGGAAGCCAGGTTCCACCCGGAGTCCACCGGGGGAACTTGCTCTGCTGCGGCCTCCCTGGGCCAGGCGCCCGGGCCGCACCGCGGCCTCCCACGGCAGGGCGGGCCAGACACGGGACGTGAGCAGGCCCTGGTGCGCACAGGCAGGCGCGCGGCCGCACGTCCGTGTCGTCGTAAGGAGGGGACCGAGAGAGCCGGCGCAGGCCCGCGACTCCTGCCTGCCCGGCGCCCCGTCCCGCGTCTCCGCAGCCGGGCTGTTACCACGGTCCTGGCCCGACCGCAGGACGCTGCGCCAGCCCCCACACTGCCGCGGCTCCAGCCACCTCCCAGCCCACGTGGCCAAAGTCCCAGCCTCCCAGCGACCGTCAGGACACCGACGGCCACAGTGTCGGAGGGCCCGCTCTTGCCACTCCGCCGTGTCACAGCCCAGGGCACTGCCAGTGAGGGAGGGGCTGGCGCCTCGCCGAGGGAGGGTCGAGCCTCTGAGTTGCAGGCATTTTGGCAAGAGGCCTCACTCGGTCTCAACAAAAACAAAAGCCTCTGGGGGAAAAAATCTAAGATAACTCTTCCAGAGTATAAAACCGGTGCGGTCTATGCAGGAGCACCGGAATAGCAGGTTTGATATTCACTGAAGTGCACAAATACTGAAATATGAAGAGTACATTAAAGAAAACATTTGGTTTGATGAAATACTCGAGTCTAATTTCATAAAGAAAGAATACTTTCTGCCTGAGTGAATTCAGGAATGAACCTCAGATAATTTCTCAGCAGAAATCTATGCAACTCCAGGGTTTTCCCCTGGGGCTGGCCTGGGGGTCAAAGCTAGAGGGAAATAAGTATGACTTTTGCAGAGACACAGACTGTTTGCAGGGGTGGGGGGTGGACCAAATATGAATGTTTTCAGCAGGCAAGCTCTCTTTATTTTGTCACAGGCCAGGCACTTCCTGATGACCTTATTTCTACAGCTGTATGAGGCTTCAAACGCTAGGGCCAGGTGCTGAGCCTCTCTCCTATAAGAAACAGCTACGGGGTGTTCGCGCGGAGGGGTGACCTGCTGACAAACAGCCCAGCCACCTCCTGCTACCGACCCCCACCACCTCCCTTCCCGCAGAGACCCCAACCCACCCGCCTCTGCTCCACCCTCCACAAACACGGTGACACGGTGTATGCTGACTTGCCACACTTCTCCTCTCCCATCTACTCCTTAAAATCATTGGTATTTGAGGACGTAATATTCCTTGTAAACACAAATGTCAAGTTGCATGCCACTAGTGTTAATCTGCATTACTTTCATTATCTTGGCAATTCTAATTTTTTTCATAATTCCCATTATGACGTCCTCTTTGACCGATGATGTTATGTTTCAGTTATTTTTGTGTTTCTGATTTCTATTTAATTACTCTGTAATCAGAGAGTATGCTCTATATGATACTGATTTTTTGATACTAGTTGAAGCTGGCTTTATAGCATAATGCAAGGTCTCCTATTTCATAAATGTCCCATGGGTATTTGAAGAGCATGCGCAGTCTGATCATTCAGTGCAGCATTCAATACGTGCTCATCGGACCGAGTATTGATTGTATGTAATTCCTCAGTGATCTCACTAGCAATCTGGACATCTTCCTCGGTGAAGTGTCTTCAGATCTTTTGCCCATTTAAAACCACACACTGTAGTAGTGGATGTGTCAACTTCCTCTTTTAATTCTGGCATCACTGATGCACATATTTCAGCATTATGTTAGCAGATGCATAAACAAGGTTAGAATTGCT